ACTTTTATAGTGTTGGTCTAGACGTAAGGCTTTTTGTAGGGCCTCCAGCGAGTACTTTGTATGTGTTGATGTGATCCAGCTCTATTCAGTACGAACGAACCTGCTGGTTCTGATTGGTCACAGGCATTTTCGCTATTGTCTCATTGCGAATTTAGCTACATTCGGTTAAAATACTCTGACAATTTACTTGGCAGGATTCCACTTTAGAATGAAAATGTGAGGTTGTCTCGAAGAAAACAACGAGGTATTTAGCATGCTTGCAAATAAAAATAAATAAATATGCGCATGCATGTATGTATGTTTGTCTGAGTGTTTACTAGACGTGTATTTGTGTTCTATGCTTGCCTGGATCCATTAAGATAGATATAGAAATAGATGTAGATGTAGATGTAGATGTAGATACAGATATTGATAATAGAAATATATGCATATGCTGATTTAGAGTACCAAGAGTAGATTTTGAATAAAACGGTATTCACCTTTGTTCTGAAAGTTGTCTTTCCCTCCAATAAATAGACCCCAGGATGCCATTGCATGCCGTTTGACCCTGCCCCTGTCCCCTCAATGCATCTGGTTGCCTGGCGGGGCAAAGAAGTCGACCCCTTGTACCAGTCTGCCACGAGATTGGCGAGCTGCCATGCTGTTTCGTGGTCGGCTTGTTTGAATCGCCCCCATCCTCCGTCCTCCGTCTTGCGTCTGGCAGCAAACCACGTCGTGCAGCACTGACGTCACATTGGTACCTCTTCGAGGACTGTTCGTCTACCATGGCGCAGGAAAGAGACCAGGCAGAAGAACACACCTCGAGATGTCTTGACCACCAGAGTGGTTGGTTGCCTGTGCTTTCTCGGCTCATTAAGGAGGTGGAATGAGGTTAACTGTGCTTGCCTAATCGGTCATGTCGTTGGCTGCCAAGTGCCAGGTGCCAAGTGGTTTTGTCTCTGGTCACAAGTCAAGGGTTGAATGAGTCTAGTGCACTGTCATCGTTCAATAGGACATCTGACATTCGAGCAACTCACATGCCGACAGTCAGTTTGACTTGTTTGCACACGTTTTACTTGC